ACTCTATGAAGTCTGGAACCTCTTTGGTCCACGCTGTCATGGAAAAGTATTTGTTCAGAGAAAAGATGCTCGCTTCTTGCTTCATGGCACCGGATCCCTTGACCGAAGCGAATAGCCTCCATGATCCCAACTTGGAACACGTGTTGCAGGACAAAGAGAGGTTGTATCAGTACTTGTTCGGAGACTCCGTGAGGGGAAGCCATGCATATCAGTCCACTGCGGGAGCTTCAGGTGAGAACGAGTCTGAGCGAAGGAAGAGGGAGAAGGTAAGGAGAGAGAACAAAATGCCATGGATGGATGAGTACTGGGGAGTCCTTCAACCAGAGCCAATCTACTCGAGGACTCAAAGGTGGTACGTCATCGATGACTTCAAGGAGGGTGAGGAGATTTGCTGCGACTACTGCTTGGTCTGCAATCCCATAGACTCCGATCAGAAAGATGATTGCTATGCAGAATGCATCAACGGGGCAGCAAATAGGTGCCGTGGGATGTCCGCAGAAGACTACGTCCAGAAGCGGTTCCATGCATGTGCTCGAATGCTTTACAACTTCGGCATGGGGCAGACGGTATCATCTCCCACCGTCATGATCTCTGAGATGAACCCGCACGTAGACTTGATGAAGTTCTTACACGAAGCGATGGTCATCTTTAACGGGAACCCAGGTTTCCAAAAGGAGATCTCGTTCTTCGGGGGGATCAGGTTGTCATCAACAATGACGGAGAATTTCTTCAAAACGAGGAGAGGGCCCAGCATCCATGTGGAAAAGCAGATAGTTGGCAGCGCCAAGTACTACCAAGGATCCTATGACCTTGGCAACGTGTGCTACACCAAATACCTCAAGACCATACTGGAGCCCGAGGTATTCCGAAATATGTTCGGAGATGATCCCTCGGAGGAACGGGTAGGTGATATGGTGGAAGCGCTGCTGGGCATGTTAGAAGTTGCTCAACTTTTCAAACACCTGTTCGTAGGATGGGGTGACATTGAGGCTTTGAGGACGGGATTAGAAGAATCCATCAAGCGCGTCACTGCATCGCTGTACGACAGGACAACGTATGAGAACCGAAAGCGATCGATGATCAGAACATTGGACCCGCACTCTGAAGAGGCGGCAAACGTGGCACTGATTCTCGTTCGCATGAGGACCATGCCGCCTCCTGAATTCGATATCGACCACTTCTTCGAAATTGGGAAAGAACCAGAACAGGGAGCAGAAGCTACTGACCAGCCCGAGGCCGAAGGTGTCGATATGGAAACTGAGGGTGAGCAGGAGAAGGAGGAGCAAGACGTTGACATGTCCGATCCGAAGACATCAATACTGCAAGCCATCGACGAATTCGAGAAGAAGATCGGGCAAGCAGAATTCTGTATCCACTGCATGAAGTCGGGACACACAACTCTCAATTGCGAGAAGATCCCTTCATCTTCACCCACAGTCACCTCAGTGCTGAGTGATTGGAAAAAGAGAGTGAAGGGAGAGGTTGCACCCGACGATGTACCATCCGGACATCCAGCAGAGGAGCCTAAGAAGAAGAAGCAGAGAGCATCGCCTACTCCAGATAGGAAGGTCGACAGCGAGTTCAGGCGAAAGGAAATGTTGAAAGCAAGAGTCGTGACAATGTTTGACCATGACGGGTTCACTTTGATTGAAAGTGCTGATGGAGTCGAAGGAGGGACACATTCCTACAACGGGCGGAAGCTGGCGGAAGTAGGCCCTAGGGATATGAAGGTGGTGTACGAGTTTGTGGAGAAGGCATTTGTGCACTCCAGTTCCCTCAAACCAAAGGCATGTCATCAATTCTATCCCCTACCGACACGGAGGGAGAAGGGATACAAGCCGATCGACCCCATGACAATGATCGGGAGAGTTGAGCTAGTACCGATCAATGGAGTCACTTTCGCTGCACAGAACTCCGACTACGGCAACCACAAGTATCCGACTCCAGACTGTCGAGTACCAGAGTACAGCCAAGCGAGCCAGGCCCTGAGTCGCCGATTGGGAGCGAAGTTGAGACATCGAATTGGACGCCAGTTCAGGACAGGAGGAAGACTCACTCCAATCAAATGCGATGAAGGCGCGTGGGTGTCATGGGAAGACCTATTAGGTGATAACGCGGTTTGGGAAGACGGTTATCACTATGGCAACATTGACATCGTGACCAAGAAGGCGCGTTTGGAAAAGTACCTCGACCAGAACTATGAGTGTTTCCGCATAACCAAGAGGATCAGATTCCAAATGTTGGCGGTTCGCGTTCACCCTGATGAACTCAATGATCCTGATGACCCGATGGAGAAGGAATGGATTGACGAGCTCAAGGGCATGGGAATCACCAAAGCAAGACTCCACAATAGCGATGGATGGTGCTTTCCCGTGGCCGTAAGAGCAACCTCAGCACACTCGTCGGACGGCGGAGGTTATGACGTCACCATCAACATCGACCACATTGGATCGAGAATGACCAACGACATGGCCCTATCCATGGTGACTGCATTTCACGCTACCAACCTTGGAGCGCTGACTTCAATCATGCGACGGGGGCTGGTGCCAGGAGGTCTCGGTTCATCGGGAAGGGATTCTATCCACTTCACATGTTTTCCGCCATGGGCCTGGGAACAGGGCTACAAGGGAAAACCTTGGCTGGGTCGTAAGGTCGCATTGAGTGATCGCCCAGTGGTTCTCTACATTCCGGTGTGGAAGCTGCAGGAGTACGGGCTTCTCATCTCAGCGACTGGATCTCTATTGGTTGAGGATGTCGTTCCCTTCGATGAGGTTAAAGGGGCATGGTTGCAATGCGACAATGCAGAACCCGGACGGCCTGAGGAAATCGAATGGATCAGGTTACTCAATAGAGAACCCGACCCTGGAAGCTACCTTGTTCTGGAGTCCAAATACGGAAACCCGATCATGACTCCACGCTATCAAAAGCTTGAGAGTTTGGCGATTGAGGTCCAGGACGATACCTACTCCGAGGACGACGCCAAAATCTCAAAGCTGTTGGGCACGATCGAGGAGAGTGGTATCTACCCAGAATATGATAGCACTGAGTGGCAGGAGGTCTTTGAGGAGATCGTATATCGCCGAGCAATGAAAGACTACGATTCAAGACCGTGTCCTAACTGCCTTGGCGAAGTCGACGTGCGATTGACGATATGTCCGCATTGCGTAGCGGTTTTGATCGCGAATGGGAAGCTCACGCATGTGGTACCCAAGGAGACAAGGGACCGCAATCAACGATCACCTCCGAGAGACGTGCCAGCCAGTTCTTCCGGTGAAGCGACTTCTTCTGCAGGTGCAAACATCGACGAAGTCATCAAGAATGCACGCAAGACAGCCGAAGAAGTCATTGACGTCGAGGAATCCGAAGGAGAGGAAGACGAGGAAGTTCCTATCATTTTGAAGGAACGACCGGACGAAGCTGAAGGCGAACCCGAGTATCGGGAGGTCCCTCAAGATGGATACGGGAATGAACTTCCACAGCCTTTCCCCTTCGCAATTGACGAATTGCCACAGGAAGCCGCGAACCCCATCGACCACAACTTTGCAGTCACACAGCAATTTGATCTGAGGTTGATGAAGTTGATCAAGAGCTTGGCCAACGCAACGTTCGACATCAATTGCTTTGAGAATCGTGAAGACGTACTGCGAAAGTTCGACGATGGACAGCGGCATGACACTCCATTCAATAGATGGCCATTAGTACCGAATGATCCGGATACTGGGTTTCCAAGACGCCTTCAGAGAGCCGAGGTCGTGGGCATGAGCAAATGGACCAACGACACGTATGCAACAGAAGCGTGGCAGATCTATGAATTCCACGCCCACGTTATTCACCCGATGATGATCACTGCAATCCGCTGCGGGCTTAGCCACAAGTATCTCAAAGAGGTCGGCAGCACTCGGCGTAACATGAGTGATCCAAAGGCTCGAAGATCTGAGACCCAGGAAGAGATCATCGAGAAGCTGGCATTCATCTCAAATTTCATCAGACGCTTGATTAGGAAGACTTTCGGAGCGAGCCGATACAGCTACTACCAGAAGCCAGATGACGAAGGTGCCGCTCCATACAAATTCATTGACATTAGCCCCGCCATCAAATCGGAGCGGAAGAATGTCACAAAGGAGATCCTCGTTGCATGCCGCTATTATGGCATAGAGGTATCCGATATCCAAACACAGAAATTGAAGCTCTTTGAGGAGCAGATCCGAAGGGGAAACCCAAGGAACGTCGAGCTCATCAAGGACTACATTGGTTTTGTCGGAGCTGACTACATGCGACAACTCACGAATGGTTGAACATTGGGGTCACGCCGACATACTACTTCCAGTACTTCACGTACTGAGGGATCTTGGGTAATTCATGATGACCATTTTGGCATCATGGGAGTGAGATAGGATTGTGTTTCACACCGTCGGTAATCGCATGATACCGCAGGTAGATGCACGTTTTCCATTTGTAGCTCCGTTACCTGTTTGATCCATCTTTCAAGCGAATGCAAGATCGCTTGCCAATTCAGTTTTATAGGACATACTGATTGACCTCCAACGCACTTTTGAGAACATGATCGTTCTCCGGTTTTTTTACATCCACTCATCTCCCTTCCCCGTCGAAGCACGGATGTGGGGGGTGTCAATAGAGATGAGGTCTCAGTATAGCTTCTATATAGGTACTTGCCATACACATTTGGCTCAAGTGCCCAACCAGGCGAAAAAGGAGCTTTAGCGTGCGAGCTTCATGTTGAACTAAGGGCTTGAACGGGGCCAGGGCACGCTTTCCATCCGTTCGCATTTTTGGTATTATATATATATACGCCACCATGCTTTTGGGAATGTGGGATCTACATTGTGCAGCTGCCACAACCTTCATAGGTCTGATAGAAACAGACATTGAACCACTCAATTTGATTCCATTTGTTGTTGAAACCATCTCTTCCTATTTATTGGTCCGGCATATGGAATGACATCCTTTGAATGCACGCTGTGTTTGCATTCACCGCATAGGTTGGACAAGCTGCAGTTTGGGGAATCATACTTCGATGCTGCCTGTCGCTGGCTCCTTGCGAACGGTGATTGGTGGCCGGGATTCTTAAGAGTTGCTATCTCCATTTGGCCTGGGAACTTAGAGGAAGTTTATGGAAATGTTCAAGCCAACTTGGTCTTTTCGTGTTCAAACCTTACAATGCAAAAGCAAGACTTGTGTGCTGTTTGTCTAGTAGTGTCATTACTTTTCTGTTTTTCTTGCTGGCCTGATCTGATGCCTGGCATGTCCATGTCCATACAAAGGTGGCGGAAATGGATCCCGGACAAGACCAAGTGCTTTGCCCGATATGGGCTCTACAATCCGAAAGAGGACGCTCGCATGCCTTCAGACCGGGTCGTTTGGACGACCATGTCGGAGTCGACTTTCGGACTACTGAGATTTCGTCGGAGTCTAATCCGACATGAAGCATCACAGGCACACACGTGTGTAACACAATTACAAAGAACCAGCTCTTGGAGATTTTGCACACATGCTGAGTTTCGCGCCAGTGCCACGAAATCAGCAGAGTTATTAAACCTTATTAAACAGTGTCAGTCTCAGTGAATATACATTTAAATTTAGACCACTCAGTTGGTCAATGATCAAGTGGTTTTCAGCTCAGTTAATGTGAGGTGGCCAGGACGTGTTGATTTATGGCACTTTGTTTCAGGAGAAGTTTGTGGACAACCGAGCCAATCCGAACAACCTCAAGTGTGAGGTTTGCTCCCCTGGCTCCTTCTCCGACACATTGCAGGAGCTGCGATGCTTGGGGTCAGTAAGATGCCAGCGCACCTCCCCTCATGGTGACCCATATATATATATTTATAGTGTTTTAGTTTCAACAGCCGTACGCAATCTTGCTTCTGTTACTGTTACTGCTGCTGCTGCTGCTGCTGCGGCTACTACTGCTACCACCACCACTGCTGCTGCCACTGCTCAAAATGGTAAAATGGTTACTGTTGCTGCTGTGGCTGTGACAAATACAATGATAACATATGACAACGATGATGACCAAACCAGAGAGAGATTCTGGCTGGATTTCTGCAAGCAGTCAAAGTGAAAGGGACATCAGGGACATCACATGCTAGGCATTACATCGTCCTGTGCAGGACTTGCCATGTTTCAGGGTTTTCTTCGCTGTTGGACCATTTTTTGCTGAAGTCCCGATGGCGATTGGTACACTCAGGCAGCTGTTTTTGGTTGATTGCACGCCATGAGTTCTATTGGATGAAGTTGAATCCTTGGGTTTTCATACTCTTTAGTGGAGCCTAGAACCAGTGGCGATGTGGTTCTGCCAGCAGTGGAGGGTCAGAGCTTCAATGTTTATGTGTTGAATCATGGTGAATCCATTAGTTTGCGTTTAACATCCGGGTCTCCAGGATGACAATGGCACCACCTTCGTTTGCCGAGATTGCTATGCAGGGAGCTACCAGGACCATTTGCTAGATTGATGAAGTTTGATGAAGCAACCAAATTACCCATGAGGAACCAAAGAATTAGACTACACGATGGTGCTGTTTTGAATTGAAGTTTCACAAATTTGGCACAGTAGCATTTGATCTACACTACGCTACACTGATTTTCCTCGAGGATGTTTATAGACTTTGTCGTTGTGCATGTTTACTTTGATGAGACCAGATTGAAGTCCAGTCCTGCGATAAACCAATCAATAATTCACTACATCAGTATTACATCAGTCAACGGACCAATTTCCAGGTTGGATTGGTGTGTGTGTGTGTGTGTTTGTGTGTGTGTGTCACCCCCTGGGCAAAGGGTCCTCCAGTGCTGACTTTCACTACCGCTTTCTACCGCAAAGGAAAGTTCCACCAGCAGGGGGGCAAGGCCTCCAGCGACGAACCTTGTCCAACGAAGCTACGTCGCTGGAGGGGAAGCGAATGGAGACGTCCATTCGTGTACCTGCAACTGAAACGTTTTCTCAAGCTGTTCCACTTACGATTTGATTCATGGTGGTTTCACATGCTAGTCCCCAAAACCAGTTTCCTTCAGCCGCTTTCCGCTGACTTTGAGTTTGCCGCTGCAGTCATGCGACTGAAACAATTATGTTCAAACACCTACAATTTCTCGGACCTTTCGCCATGCTGTTCCACCGCCATCCTTCCCATCGTGGTAACTGAGCTAACTGAATACAAGTGTCGAAGTGTGTTTCGCTCAGCCGTCCCACTCGGGTGCTGAGTGTGATCCCCGTCACAGGGGCGCCGTTTTGCATCGGAAATCACCCACCACAACGTACCACCTGTCACTGGATTTCCACTGGAAGTCATCGACACATCCACCGAATCAACTGATGCATTGGCCGCCGGGCCTTAACACGGGATTTCCTAACCAGCCGCCGGGCTTTAAAACGGTGCGGTGCTCAAACCCCCCAATGAGGCAGGTTTCCCACAACCCCCCCCCTGCTGAGTTCTACTCCCTACCTAATAAGGGCAACATAGGGAAATGGTACTCGACACACTTGTGTGTCGGTGCCTTTCCCTGTGTTGTTCCTTCTCTAGTCTTTCCTACCCGGGCGGTCTAAGACTAAAGTCCCGCTCCCTAGCTATTGCACCCAATTCATTTCTGCTAAGTAATCAGTAATTCTAGAGGGCTAAGCATTCGTACACACACACGGACACACACATGTACATACACTTCCCTGCCCCCCGCTTTCCTTCTTACGCCTTCGGTCGTTTGTTGGGCTTTCTCTCAGGCTTTTTAGGTTGTTCTTGAGGCTCGTTTCCCTACCCCAGTCAAGGGCTAAGTATTCATTTTT